AAGAGGGGAGGGGCAAAAAGAGGGGAGGGGCAAAAAGAGGGGAGGGGAAAGTCATTTCCAACTGAGCTGATTCAGTGGTTCCCAGCCCTGTATCCAACCCACGTGGAATTCCAGTATTGCTGGTTTGGATGGGATGTGACAGGGTGGGATAAAGGTCCCTGGCCAGTGGGATGGAGAGGGACAGGAGACACTGAGCTGTGCAAGGGAACACAAGCAGCCTCTGCAGGCCCAGCCTTTCCCTCCCTGCCCCTCAAGGCAAGGGAACCCCCTAAAACACAACCCAAATTTGCACCTGCATTACAAGATAACATAATATGAACTAAGGTGATCTCAGCTCTGAGTGTATTAATGCACGATTTTTGTCAGAATTCTTGTTTTCCAGCTGAGAGTCTGCAGGAGAAACGTAAAGGACTTCAACTCCTATTCATTCACGTGTAAAAAAAAGGATCAAAACAAGTCAACTGGAGTGAAAAGCAGCCCCAACAATCTTCAAAAAAACCTTCAAAGATGCCACTGTATGAAACAGAGCCCCACAATTCACAACCCCAGCAAATACTTCTGAAAATCCCAGTAACAGACTCATTGCAACTTCTGTTGGGGGCCTTCACACTCCCTTGTGTTTTTAAAAACTGATCAGAATTATTTTTGCCTTTTTTTCATCCCTTTCAAGAGTAAAGAATAAATTAGTGGGACCCCCAGCCTCACATCTGTCTCCTTCCTCACAGGCATGTCCTAGCTGCTGAAGACAATTAAGTTCATTAATTGTCAAATAATTGTTGTTGGATTGGTTTGGGTGGCATGAAGTGCACACAGACAGCTTTTCAGCTCAGCAGCCTTCTCTCCTGACCAAAAATTGCTGCTAAAGTGTTTCTTCAAGGCACAGACATTAGATTAGAGAGAAAAGAGAGAAATTTGATCTTGTGTTTCCACCTTCCTCCTCCCTGATTTTTTCTAGCCTGAGAGTTTGCCTCTGAATTCAATAGAGTAGCACTGTAAAAATAAAAGAGATTTTAGCTGACCTAATTTCAGATATTGCAAGGCTACAACTGACATTTCTACTTTTACTTAAGCTAAAATATTATGAAAAAAACCCAAACCTTTGCAGCATTTCTTCTGCTTGGAAGAAAGACAAGAGCAGGAACTGTAAACCCAGATCTCCTCCTTTCAGAAAACCAAAACCAAACCAAAACCAACCAACCATAAACAAAACACCCACATATTCCCCATCCACCCACAAGCCCAACATTTATTCTGGCAAATACTGAGTAAAATAATAACTATGATACAAAATAATGATAATAAAAATAGAATTATTAGCATTATCATTCGCAAATATTATTTCCTATTAAATATAATTTGTTTATAGAAAATAATTTGAGTTTATTTATTATTAAAATAATTGGAATTAAACACTGACTGGGATCATCAGCAGTACACTGAGACTTCTTTGGCTACAGAGTGATCAACATTATTGAGGTTTTTAATAATTGGGGGGGGATGGTGTTTTTTAATAAAAGGGGCTGCAGTAGATGGAAAGTATTTGCATTTCATCACAAATAAATGAGCTCCTGGGGAAGCCTCCTACTAAGTCCAGGAAGAAAGCAGCCTCACCATTTCTGAGGCAGTCTTTGCCAAAGTTTTAAGGCTACTTTGTCACATCATTAATTGCTGGGGGTAGGGAAGGTTTGATGACTCGGGAGGTCAAGCAAAGACCAGGTGAAATAAAGAAATTAGGAGCTAATGGTGCAAAATTCAGTAAGAGAGAAGAGCAACTGAGCCAACATGCACAGCTCCCACCAGGAAATGGAGCATTTGTGTGCTGGAAGCAAAGAAACAGCTTATCAATTGTGCCATAATTGATTTTCTCCTGCTTGTACCCCTGATCGTTCTGCTGTTAAAATAACCACACTCGGTTGGAAATAGCACTTGCTAAAAAGCAGGGGGTTTTTGATGTTACACGTTGGGTTACAAATGTTTTTCCTGCACATTAGAACAACTCCGGCAGCCCCAGCACTGAACAGAGTTTTTCTCTTTGGCTGCAAGAAGCATATCTCAAAGTAATTATTCCTGTAAGCATTGCCTCATTTAGCTGGGTGGCATTTGCTGAGTCACCACTACCCCACCTTGGCTTAAATCCATTTCCAGATCACTTTTTCTCTATTAGAGAATTAGGGCATCGATTAGAAGCCCTTTGAGCTCAGTTTACCCTTTCCTGAACACAGTGTGAGGGGGGTGGAAACCAGTTCAGGTTGTATCAGGGTGCTGCAAGGTCCTCAAGAAACAGCATCTCTGAGCTGTTCCCCCCAGAAAGGGAACAAGGCTCTTGGCTACGTGCAGCAAACTTATTTTCAGGGAAAGGCAGAGCTCCTCTGTTCAGACTATGGAAGAGAACATTATCAAGGATAAACCTAAGTTTTGTGATAAATAAAATGGCATGAGCCAGGCTAAAAAAAAAAAAAAAAAGCCACCCAAACAAGATATTTACAACCCTTTTAAGTAAGAAAGCTGCTCTGTGTTTTCAGTCACATTAATGAACTATAGATGCACATGTAAATGTGGATAAGCATTTTTCCCTTCCTCTGAATCACCTGGAACTAAAAGGGTATGATCTGAATACCCCTGGGATAAGGACATGAACACAGAATTTTGTCATATAAGTGCAAAGGAACAAAAATTGTTGAAATCAGTTTTCCTGTTCTGAAGATCAAACTGCCTGTTACCATCCTGGCTGGGGCATCCCTGCCACGTGTTCCACACCCTTCAGCATCATTCAGTTGTAACTAGAAACGGGTATTCAACCAAAAATCCCCATTTTATTTCCATCAAAGATGCCTTTTTGCATGAACATTATGTTGCCAGTGTGAGCACAAATAAGATCACAGTAAAAAGTGTTGCTTTAGATTTTCAGCCTGCCCTGAGTGGTTTTGTTTCACCCCAGAAGGGACAGAGCCCCCCACGCTCCCATCACCCTGCTTCCCCCCCCTCCAACAGCTTATTCCCATGCCAGAGGACATCCCACTGCCCTGCAGCCTCTCCTCCATCAAACAGAGCATTTCCCTCCTCAAACAGCCACCTCCAAGGTCAATATTGCAAAGCCTAACGGTGCCACTCCTCTGCTGCAATAAATGATTAAAAAGCAAGCTAATTGTAGCCAGGCACAGATCAAATATCTGAAATATGAGCAGCTTGAACGCTCCACTTCAGTGTCAGGAATGACAGGGATAATGACAGGCTGGAAAAGGGGAGAAAATTAAATTAGCTCTCTTGGACATCACGGGCATCAAATGTAACGTGGGGTTGGGCTGGGGGATGGAAGGGAATAAAAGGACATTTGGAGAGCAATTAGTAGAGCAAGAAAAATAGACTTTCGACTCGATAGCAAAAACCAAAGCAAAGCCTTCAATCCTGCTTCAATTTCTAATGAAAGCAAAACTACTGTGTTTTCAGAACTGCCAAAATAAAGGTTTCTAAAAGAAAATCCAGCTACAAAAATCATAAATATGAGCAATTACAGTTTACTTACATGGAGGGCTTAAGTGCCACGCACGAGCAACTTCACTACAGACACTCTGAAACCATACTCAGTCTTTAATTATCTCACTCATTACTCTTAAGAGTATTTAAGAACAAGTCTGACAGCCTTTGGCCTTCAACCTCTATAAATTGTTCAGAACAATAAATTCTAGTCAATACTCTAGGTCTGGAATTTTTTATTACTATGGATCACTGGCAGAACACAATTCTGGTATCTTATAATTAAATTCAACCAAAATTCTGTGAGGAGGAACATGAGCTACTGGTGCCACGTTTCAGGGTTCCTGAAGTCTTGTTTCTCCAGAAACCCCTCATTGTGCATCTTTTCCCAAGTTTTTGGTCAGACCTGTATACAGCCCATTAATAATTCTCTCAAACTCCTGTACCAACCATGACTGCTGATTTACAAACAAAGCAAAGTAAAGTTTGTTAAAGCCTGTTCAGTGATTAAGACAAAACAAATTTTTATGCTGAAGTCTCACACTGAATAATCATAACTTCAGCTTTTCTCTTGCCTGGTAGATCAAGAGCTTTGTAAAATAAAATCACCAGTAGAAGCTGAAACCGTAAAACGTTCCCAGATCTTTCTTTCTTTTAACTTTTCTTTCCTACCAAACTACTTTTTCCTATCAAAAATTTGGGTTAAAATGTTATCACAGGCTCATCCCACCCCTCCCACAGCTCCACCCCCTCAGCCCAAAGCCTACCTTCATCATTCTGGGCCAGAGCAGCTGCCAGGACAGCAGTGAGTGCAGTCCCCACGGAGAGCCATTGCCAGAGACAAAGCTGCTGGACCATTTTCTGTCACACTTCACTCGAGGCAGATCTGAAAGAGAGAGATTTGATCCCCACATTAGTCAACCCACCTGCTCCAGTGGGAGTGATTACAAACTCTGTCCCAGGGGATGTGTAGTCTGTAAGACCAGGGCACTGTTTCTGCAATAAAACCAGAAAATGAGCCAGGTTAACCCCATTAACATCAATACGTATGCAGGCACTCATTCAGTTGGTAACTATGCACACACAGCCCTCCAAGGAAAGAAAATGCAAGTTTCTTGCTTAAATCAGGTCTGATTTCCCTAATTTCCATGCAATAAGGTATTTATGCCATCCTTCCTGCTTTAGCCTTCTGCTTTAAAGTACTTTGGAGAAGCAGCTGGAGCAGAGAAATTCCACTGATTAAAACCAGTGTTCCACAAGTCCAGAGGGACTCAGGATTCCAAGGCATCACCCAGGAAAAACATGAGTGATCCCCAAAGATGGTCTTCTTTAATGAGACACTGTTGATTTGTGTCCAGGAAAATGGGAAAAACAAACAACAACAACAACCCACCAAAAATGCCCGAAACTAGTAAAATAAACTGGCCAAGACAGGTCTGGCTGAACTCCAGGGTATATTTAGAGTGAGCAGCATTAGGAAGTTCTCTAAAGCTCTGGTTTATGGCTCCAATAAAGAGAATTTGCATATTTCTGTAGCTTTAGAATTAAATTATTTAAAAATATTCCTTCAAATTCAAAAAAAGGTTGTGATAAATTCAATGGACTTGTCTGGAGAGAGACTTTCAGCAATAAGAAAACAAGTTGTTGTATAAAGAGGTTTGAAGTGCTGTCAGTTTTCCCAAGCAAAGCACCTCACCTGGATTTCATGCCCACTTTCTGCTCGGACCTTTCTCTGGGGGTTCCAAAACTGCTGTATTTGATTCCAAGGCAAAAAAACCAGCTTGGTACCCCCCCACCTAAAGCCTCGGCATTCCCACGTTCCATCCTCTCCCAGCCAGGCACCGGTGATGTGCTGCTTCCCTCCACAAGCTCACAGCAAAAACAAATGTCTGGGCAGCATCGAATTCACCCAAACACCCAGAAATACCCATTCAGGGCATAAAAACAGCCTCTTACATCACTCCCAAGAGTTATCCAAGCCACAGGGAAGCAGGAGTTCCACCTCCAACAAAAACAGGTGATAGTTTCAAGGGACAAGCCAAGAATTTCTCAAAGAGCTGAATTTATTACGAATAGTATCTTGCAAAGCAAGATATGTATATCCAGAGTTTTGGAGGAAAATCTGTGGGTTTTTTTTCAAAAGGATGAGGGAAGCAAGCAGTGAAATCTAATAAACCAGACTGAGTGGCCCATGCTTACTTAAATATTGAAGGTGGTTGACACTATCTGTTTCAGATATATAAATATATATATACACACATAGTTTGCTTGCTTCCAAGACACCTCACATAGGTGGGATTTCAAGGTTTTTCCCGACCTTAATGGTTCTATCCTATGACCTGAGGCTCCCTTACACAGCAAGCAGAGCTCTTTTTTTCTTTGCAAAGGACACAGATCACAGTTGACTTTTTGCCTTCCAATGGATTTTAATACCAACATTCACTATTCCAAACAATGTTGTAAAAATAAAGAGGAACAGCAAAACACCACTTGAAATCCCACACTGCACATGTTGCTCCTCTCTCATCTGGGGGTTAAAGGTGGAGAGGGGCTTTTCCAATCTCCATCTCTGCTCAGGTCAGACTCTTCCCACCCTGTCCAGCAGCAGGAGGTCTCTGCAGGCAGCTGGAACAGGCAGCAATTCCAGGAAAAACTTTAATATTAGGCATTGAAGAGGGATGCAGCCTGTGTCTGAGTGAGGCACTGGCACAGATCTCATGGCACTGCTCGTTTTCATTTCCACCAGACACAGCAGCTCAAGGTTTCAGAATTCATTGATTCAAGCCATACAGAAGCACCCACCTTCCTCCTCTCTCCTCTTTCTCCTTCCCCTCTCTCTTCCTTCTCTTCCCCTTGCACTTCTCCCACCTTTCTGTCCCCAACTCCAGCAGAGAATCAGTCACAGAACCACTAAGGTTGGAAAAGAGCCCCTGGATCCCCAGGTCCAGCTGTCAACCAGCACCACCCTGTTCACCACTAAACCTTGTCCCCAAGTGCCACATCCACACAGGTCTCAAACACTTCCAGGGGTGGTGACTACACCACTGCCCTGGCCAGTCTGTTCCAATGCTCTACAACCCTTTCCAGGAAGAATTTTTCCATAATATCCAACCTAAGCCTGCCCTGGTTCAACTTGAGGCCATTTCCTCTCATCCTGTCACCTGCTATCTGGGAGAAGAGGCAAAACTCCCCCCCCACCTCACTACAAGCTCCTTTCAGGGAGCTGTGGAGAACAACCTCAGAGAGGAGAGAGGAACCCCAACAGCTCCAATGTGAATTTGCATTAAATGCAAAATTAGGAGCAGTTCAAATGAGAACTTTAGTCCTTCCTAAAGGGCCTAGTATTCCCATACATGTGAGGAGACCGGAATTGCTCTCTAAGATCCCACTATCCATAGGATAAAAGCTATTTAAAAGGCTTGACACAGCTATGAAAACGAAGCACCAAGCCCATAAAGTATGTCAGCAATAACCTGACAAGGCTGTTACCTGCTGAGAAAAAGAGCAGCTGGTTCTTTCTTGGAGACAAATAAAAGTAATCCTAGAATATCCTGAGCTGCAAGGGACCCCCAAGGATCATCCAGTCCAGCTCCTGGCCCTGCACAGACACCCCAGCAATCCCACCCTGTGCCCCAGAGCATTGTCCAAACCCTCCTGGAGCTCTGGCAGCCTTGGGGCTGTGCCCACTGCCCTGGGGAGCCTGGGCAGTGCCCAACCACCCTCTGGGGGAAGAACCTTTTCCTGAGATCCAACTGAGCCTGCCCTGGCACAGCTTCCTTGAGGAGCCCACTCAGCAATATTTCCAGTGTTGCTCAAAAGGGGTTTTGCCCTCCCCTTCTACTTCCCAAAATGCTCATTTAACCACTGTCATCCAGATTTCCCCTTGGCCAACTAAGCTCATTCTGGGTTTTGAAATGGTGCCTTCAAACAACACAAAATCACTTCCACCATAATATATTCCAACCTTTTACATCTCAAACTCCAGAAATGGAAAGTTCAGGAGACAGCCTTGGTTTCTTCAGGCCAGCCAAGGAAAAAAAAAATCACATCCACGTGCAGATTAAAGGTGTTACAAGAGCAAGAAAGAAGAGCTCAGCCCCACTTCAGAGGCCTCTGATATTTTATTTCACAACCTTGAGAAAAACTCCAGCTTTCCAATCACGATGTGCTATTTTAGAAAGTTATTCAGAGCTCAGCTGACACCCTTGAGTTGAGTCTGCTCCTGAGAGATTTTTAGGACAGAATCTTGACAGATTTATTTTTGATTCTGATGAAATGTCAAGTTACCCACGAGGAGAGCAACACTGCTGCTCCCAGAATAAGCAGCTCCATATGCAACTGGAATACAAGAGAATAAAAATTGGCCCCTGTTTTTCCTTCAATTTATACCAGAAAAAAAAAAAACAAACCAAAAAACCACAAGAAACCCATAGAAAACCAAACTAAAAAAACCCCAACACCACAAAGTCCACCAAAAAAAAACCCCAATTAAAAATATACATAATAAAAACCCACAAAAAAACCCAAACCACCTCGAAAACTAAAAAAATAGCAAGTATAGAAAATGACAATGCTGAGTTGAATTATGAATTGATGAGAGAAGGAAGATTTGTAAAATAAAGATATACAATATGTCTACAGGACTTGGGATTTTCCTGGAAAATATTCTCATGTTGTAACAGTAGAAATTGAAATTTTAAGAGGGGATAAACGTAAACTAAAAATCCCACTGAATATAAAATATCAGTTATGACATCCAAGCACCTTGAATATGTTTAATAATGGCATTATGGTAACCTCAAATAATTACTTACTTTTAGATCTGGTGTTACCACACTGCATTCATATGAAGATGAGCAGGGAAATATAAATAAATAACCAGGTATGGTTGGGGTAAAAAGTATTTTTCAATGCTTGTACAAATTGTTCTTGGTATGGAAATAAAACCCGAATTTTTGAAGTTTTTTGAAATAAGTACAGGCTAACACAGTCTAAAGCCACCTGTTGGGTGGAATAGATTCTTTATAAAAGTTACACTGGCAGAGAAAGACAGGCCAGGGAAGAAAATATTCAAAGTTGTTGACATGGTTAGGAGGTAACAGAAAACTAGTGTACAAATAGCAAATCCTTACCCACACTGGTCTGTGATAAACTCCTGACCCAAAATCAGAGCTGAAATTTCAGCAGAACACTGAGTTTCAGTAAATCAGAATTACAGATCCATATAATGATTTGGGTTGGAAGGCACCCAAAATATCATCCAGTCCCACCCCTGCCATGGGCAGGGACACCTCCCACCAGCCCAGGTTGCTCCAAGCCCCATCCAACCTGGCCTTGGACACTTCCAGGGATCCAGGGGCAGCCACAGCTTCTCTGGGCAACCAGGGTCAGGGCTTCCACATCCTCATAGCCAGGAATTCCTTCCCAATATCCCATCTAACTCTGCCCTCTGGCAGTGGGAAGCCATTCCCTCTGTCCTGTCCCTCCATCCCTTGTTCCCAGTCCCTCTCCAGCTCTCCTGGAGCCCCTTTAGGCCCTGGAAAGGGCTCTCAGGTCTCCCTGGATCCTTCTCTTCTCCAGGTGAACCCCCCCCAGCTCTCCCAGCCTGGCTCCAGAGCAGAGGGGCTCCAGCCCTGAGACCATCTCCATGGCCTCCTCTGGACTCGCTCCAACAGATCAACATCTTTTTTCCCTACTTAAAATATTCAATTTGAATCAGAAAAAAAAAAAAACAACAACAAACAAACAAAACAACAAAACCTCAAATTTGGACCAGGCTTGCAGGAAGCAGAGCCCTCACACCAGAACTGACCTCTGCACCCCTGATTTCACATGAAACAGGGACTGTGGTGGTGCCACACCACAAACAGTCACCAGCTTGGAGTG